CTCTCTCTCTCTCTCTCTCTCTCTCTCTCTCTCTCTCTCTCTCTCTCTCTTTCTCTCTTTCTCACTCTCTCTCTATAATTAAGGTTATCTCTCTATGCTTAAACCACAAAAACTTCGCCTTCTCTCTACCAGAACTCCATTACTCTCCCTAACCCTCCCTTTCTCTCTAGAATTAGGCTTCTCTCTCTAACCTGAAGCCACCAAAAATTAGCCTTCTCTCTCTCCATCTGTATATAGGTTCTCTCTCTGACCTTAAATCACCAAAAAGAAAAATAATTTGACTTCTCGCTCTCTCTCTAACCTTAAAAGCTAAAACCCATAACAAAAAAAAAGTGTTTTTTGAGAGTTACCTCGTCAGGAGAAGCCCATACATGGAGATGAGAATCTATTACTTTTGTTGAAGCGACCATGGCTGCTTGGTTTCTCGTAAAGGAAGGATTTTTTCTGAATTTTAGAGGGCTCTTACTGTAACTGATAGAGAAGAAGCTCAGTCTTAGTGCCATGACCACTTAAATTCACCTATTTTCCTTTTTTTATTTTTTTTTTAAGTTGAATAGAAGTTGCAGGTACTTTGATGGCGAAAATGTTGGGTGGAGGGCACATGTGAAATTGCACGGTTGTTATAGCGCATGTAATATATCACATAGGAACGGGATACTGCTCTTCAATGGTAGGGAAAAACAGGAGTATATAACGGAACCGGTCGAGATGGGTCCGTTCCCGTTTTGCAATGGTATGGACAGGTGTGTTACGAAAACTGGCACGGGAAATTTAGGCGGGGAACCAAAATAATTTTTGGAACAAAAATGGTCTATTTTTGTCCTCGGACAAAAATATCATGATCGTTCAAAAATCAATTTTCAACATTGACAAAAAAACATTTGAAAGTAAAAAAATGTTATAGATCTTGCGGATCTATAAACATTTAATTTATAGGGTGAAATGGATGGTCTAGATAATTTGTTATAATGTACATAGTTTTTAGATATTGAAATCTTAATTATTTTTTACAACCTTAATGTTCAAGCCGAGATGATTGATGAAAAGGTTTTTCAATACTTAAATTATAATTTTTTATAATTTATAAGACGAGACTTTACTTATTTGATAGAATTGCATCCCTATCAAACCATTTTTCATTTTTTAATTGAGAATTTTTCATCGGTGTTGCCTAAATTGTTGTTATTTTGGAGGTTCCATTGAAATGCTTGATTTTACAGTCATTCCAATAATTTTTTTGGATTATTTTAATTTTTCCTATTATGCTCCCTATTTTGGCCTTTGTTCCAAAATTAACTTTGTACTAGTAAGATTTGAAGTTGGTATACATGGTTGGGTACATATACTTTTGCAATTTAAATCCATTATGTCTCAAATTAACTTCGGGCCTTCAAAATTTATCAATCACTTATAAGTTGATTTCAAGAACACCATATGTGAAATAGAATTGGGAAAACAATATGAAAAGGATCAAAAGCAAATAAAATAAGAATCCAACAAACCACAATACAAGTATAAAGCAAAAGTACACATCAATTTACGTGATTTACCTCAATAATACATTCACTATCAAGGGAGAAATTTTACGAGTTTCATGATTTTATAGAGATACGTCATAATGGCAAAAAAAGCTCAAATGTAATTTTTCCTACCACAAAAATACCATTAATTGACTCTTACCTTTTATATTGTCAACTAATTCTATCACTGCAAATAAACGACAATAAATGTGCCCAAGATAAATGCCCAACCATGTAGAGTTCATAAAAAAAAATGCCTCTTTTTCCCCAAAACTCCTTACTCACTCTCTATTTTTCTCTTTTCAAAATGATATATGTATATATAGGAAAATGATCCTGTGACCCAGTGGGCTCGCAGTAAAAAATGAGCTTAACGGCCTATAATGAATCTGGGCCGATCTGTCAAACACAGATGTTTGGTAGTGTTTGAAATTTAATTTTTTTTATTGAAATTTAAATCATTTGAAATTTTAGACGTATGTTCTTCTCATTAAGACGCACCCAATAAAAATATAAAAAAAATAATTGGAAAAACAATTGATCAAAATACCCATGAAACTTTTCGGGGGATTTTGGTCAATTTCTTTCATGTAAAATATTTTTTTGATATTTTTCGAAGATTCACCTATTTTTTATGAACACAC